TCTTGGGCCATTATACAAACCAGGGTGGTTTGAATAACCTCAGTATCGCTCTGACCCAAGTAGCTAAGTATTCTTCCAATCTCTTGGTTGAATAGCTTAGTTCGCGATCGGTTGGAATGACCAAAGCTTCCTCAGCTACAAGCTGCTCCACGGCTACAAGCTGTCCATCCGGTTCCTTCTCCTTGTCTTGAGCAACCTCGGCCATGATCATATCATCCCCTCCCTCTTGAAAAAGATTTGTCCTCAAATCTGGATCATCTGCAAGAAAAGGAGATAAATCAGAAACATTAAAACTCAGACTGATGTTATACTTACCTCGAGTTTGCTGCTTTGGATTTCGTGGATAAGAGTCTGGTGGTTTCTCTGGAATTGGATTGGAACTTGTGAGCCACTCTTCTTGATGTTGGATCAGTGCTGCCTCTCCTCCTGATGCTGCTTTTCCTAAACTCTTATACTTTTCCATAGAACCTGCAACATTAGAACACTCATAAGTTTTAGTAAATAGAAAGGGTTCTAGATACTTACCTGGGGCTGGATAAATGTGTGGTTCCGCCCTAAACTCTTTCAACATGAAACATGTAGTGCTTAGTCCTTGTAGTTTTTGATCTGGTGGTTTAGACTTTGGTGGAATCTGTTCGGATTGAGCTTCTTTTTCTTTATCTTCTTGCTTCCATTGTTCTTCACTAGACCCTGTACCTGTCTCAACACTTTTGGAGAAAAGCAAGTGCATCATACAACTCATGGAATCATTATAAACAGGTTGAGAAAGTCTAACATGTACCTTTTTATTGCTAGGGACTTGAACAATTTCTTGCAAATCACAACAAACTTTGGTACCTTGATACAGATTGCTCGGTGTTTTGTTTGGCTGCTTAGGTTTGGGTTCTTCATGGTCTGCAGTTTCTTGATTAGTTTCAAGCTCAGGTCCAAGCTCCTTGTCATTGACACTGGGGTGCTTCATAGTCTCACTAGTCACGTTGGTATAGCTGCTTCCATCAATGTTCAGACTACAGACTTAATCTTGAACAAGGTATGGCGAATGAAGGAGATTCTCTCTTTTCTCCTCTTCCTCTGTTCGGACTTGAGCACTTAGAAGTCTTCTTGTCATAAGGAGCTTACCACGAACTGGTAATGCCTCATACTCCTCTGTGTCCTGAACAGTCTTTGGCGTAGGCTCTTCCTCAGATTCAATCTCGCCATTGTCTCTGATGATCATAAGTCTGCGGTTGGTACATTCAGTAGCATAGTGACCTCGACCTTGGCATTTGAAACACTTGAGATCTCGGGATCTTCCTGTGGAAACAGTTTCGCCCTTGCTTTTATCTTTCTCTGGAGAGGTGGGAAGAGGTTTGAGCTCTGGCTTTGATGGTAAAGGAAACTTGCTCTCTTGATTGAAACCCGACCTATGAGTGTCGGCTCCATAGCTAGATCGAGAAGGACCCTTCCTCTTAAGTTGTTGTTCCACAAGGACGGCCTTGTGTAGCATCTCCTCCAGGAATTCATATTGTTGCATCTCAACTCGATCCTGGATTTCACGGTTCAGGCCGCCTAAGAATCTGGACATAGTGGCCTCGCGATCCTCTGTGATATTGGCTCTTAGCAAAAGGGTGTCCAGCTCTTGGTAATAGTCTTCAACGGATCTGGTTCCTTGAGTGAGCTTGCGGAGCCTGGAGTGGAGTTCCCGGTGATAGTGACTCGGCACAAAACGTTGCCGCATGAGGCGTTTAAGTTCTCCCCAAGTCTCAATGGGATATCCTCCTGAGCGGTGGCGGCTAGTGACGGTCTGATCCCACCAGCTGAGGGCATAGTCATAGAAATCCGTGACAGCTATCTTGACCTTGTTGGCATCGATATAGTTCTGGCATTGAAAGATCAGTTCCATCTTCTTCTCCCAATCCAAGTATGCATCTGGATCGTTCTTGCCATGAAATGGCGGAATCTTTGCTTTGAACCCTCCCAAGTTCTCGGTTAAGAGATCTCGTTCTGTCCGCCTAGAACGCCGGTTGCTTCGATGGGACGACTGACCATGGCTTCTGTAATAAGCCTTGGCAAGGGGATCGTCAGGAGGTTTCCCTATTTCACTGGCCTGCTTTGATTTCTCTCCCTCAGAGATGACAACTTGGGCTTCAGGCACCTTGTCTTTTCCCTTGAGTTGATCGCGGATTGGTTTGAGCTCAGCAGCAAGCCTCTCAGTTAAAATCTTCGACATGGCTTCCAGGAGCACCTTGTTGTTGGCACTGACCCCAGAACTGGAATCATCCGACATGGTTCCTGAAAATTGCAAACAAGATTCTCGGCAGTCACTAGTTCATAGCAACAAGCAAACAATTCCGAAAAATTATGTAAACAATTTTAAAATTCATGAAATAAATTCTAAATGATAGATCAGGTGCTAATGAACCAGGATATGATGTCAGAATGCTCAGAAAAATTACGAAAATAATTCCAGCAAAAAGATCTAGGATGATGAAGAACAAAAGATGAACAGTCAGATTCAAAATGCTTAAAATGATGAATCAAGGGTTGTAACATGCAACAGAGTGAGCGATGTGCTGATGGTAACAAGTGTTATGCTCAAACGAACAGTGAGGATGAGTAGATCTATGATTTCCAGGATGAGAAGATGAACAGACACTTGTGAAATGATGAACAAAAACGAAAATTGCAAGCATAAAGGGATAGAAAACTCAGCTCAGAGTGTGCTCTGATACCACTTGATGAACTCTTCCCTAGATCGGCACACTGAGACTGAGGTTGGATAGATTTGGCGTGAGCCGTGATGATGGAATGAGTTGATGATTGAATGGTTGGCTTGAGAGATTGCGGAAAGATCTCTAAAGCACCGGCCAGATCTCTAGAAGGATATTACTCACCAAAGAGAGAAATGGGATTTCAAAGAATATGACACATCTTTGAGAGGTTTGATCTAAGAGATTAAGGGAGTTTGAGAATAAAGACTTAGATAAATGATAACAAATTCGTCCAGCAACATATAAAGGGAAGAGAAGAAGAGATGAGTCAAGGAACAAGCTCCAAGACCATCTGAGAAACACACACAACATTAAATGAAAGTTTGAACACTAAAATAGACCCTTCACATGCCCTTAGGCGTGGATACTTCAAGGTGAATGGGCTGGGCCGAAATAATTGATAAAGGGAGGATTTGAAAGTGAAACTTAGGCCTCATTAAAAACCTTCTATGGAAAACCCGTTGGGACAAAACCATAGAAGGGAAAAAGAGCACACTAAGTACACTTGTCCCTTTATCAAGTTCCTTGGGCCATTATACAAACCAGGGTAGTTTGAATAACCTCAGTATCGCTCTGACCCAAGTAGCTAAGTATTCTTCCAATCTCTTGGTTGAATAGCTTAGTTCGCGATCGGTTGGTATGACCAAAGCTTCCTCAGCTACAAGCTGCTCCACGGCTACAAGCTGTCCATCCGGTTCCTTCTCCTTGTCTTGAGCAACCTCGGCCATGATCATATCACATTTCAACTATGGTTTTATAATATCATATGTTCTTCAAAACGTTGTGAACTTTGTTAGTCTATGAGAATGATGTTTTAATACTTTTTTTCATTTTTGAGAACTACCTATATTTAGATTGTATATACGTTTGTCTTAATTCGTTCTTAGTTTATGCAAATAACCCAACAACGAAATTGTTAATCTAACGGAAAAATCAAGTTTCCCTTATGGTAACAAATTTAAATCACAACTAAAAACCTAAACTAACTGTAAAATCACGGATACCACAGAGATACGAAAAGGTGTCCAAGAACGTTTACCTGAGTATTTTGCAGTGAAGTTTTTTGGTATTCAACAGCAATGTCTCCTTTTCAATCCGTGCTTGACTCATGATCGCTCAGCCCGTCAAACATACAAGCAAGTAATGTGATTACGAAATGTTAAATAAATGCACTCCAAAACACGGGATTGAACATATACAAGTTTTAATTTACTTTGTAAAATCACGGATACCACAGAGATACGAAAAGGTGTCCAAGAACATTTACCTGAGTATTTTGCAGTGAAGTTTTTTGGTATTCAACAGCAATTTCTCCTTTTCAATCCATGCTTGACTCATGATCGCTCAGCCCGTCAAACATACAAGCAAGTAATGTGATTACGAAATGTTAAATAAATGCACTCCAAAACACGGGATTGAACATATACAAGTTTTAATTTACTTTGCAATTCATTTGATTCTGAGCATCTTAAAACCAATCTAAGGAAGAATTAAGTTAATCTTATTTGATTTATCTGATCTAGGAGGCAAGTTAAAATCGAAGTCTTGCTTCAGGGAAGGAAATTGCGAGAGCTTAGAGGTTTACCTGACCTAGAGAACGGAGACGCAAGGGAACAGTCCCGTCAGCTGCAAAGATCGATTTTGCTGGGTTCTTTTGAGTAGAGCATAGGATTTTCCAATACGAAGAGAATTAGAAGCTCTTACATTAGGTCAGACCACAAAAATCCTTTCTTTGATCGATTGAGATTTCGTCAATTGGAGAATTTCAGTAACCTAGACGAGCGGAGAAGTGTTTAATTATCTATGTGGAGAACGGGACGAGCATGAAGGAAAAAGATGATGCGATATCGCGAAACAAAGAAATGGTAACGGCGATTGTCGGCTCATTTCCAAATTGTAAAGGAAACCATTCGGTTAACCTAAACCGAACCAAATTGATTTCACTCGCTCGGTTACCCTAAATCGAACCAAATCTATTTCTGGACATCATCTATACTATTAAATCTCTACTATTAAACTGATAATTATACCCAAAATAAGGAGTTCTAAAATAAGAGTATTGGTTTTCTTTTATGATTTCTGCAACTGAATTAACTTTCCGAACAAATGGAAATAATAAATAGGGGTCATCAAATTTGAAATATTAATTCTATACTTACAACTCACCAAATCAAACCCGCAAAACCATACATTATGAAACCGAGCAAACCCGGTAAATCTTTAAACCGAATGAGATATACTTATATAACCAAAATATAACTCACCAAATGAAAACGTGCAAACCCCGTAAAACGACATATATGTATGTTATACTGTCAAAACACATTGAAGTTGGTTTGAGCAAGACTAGCTCAGGGTCTGTATCTAACATGAAATTATAACAATTTATATACATAATTATTTCGTCCAGCACGTATATATTCAAAATGGGAATCCTTACTCATCATCACATATATCACAAACATACCAAACTTTTATTTACATAATTACCGTATCAATATTTAAAAACATTTTTAAAAAAATACAACATCCCGTGCTTCCCAAGTACGGGTCAGGATCTAGTATAACATTAAAACCATAAACTATATATAATAGATTATGATGGTTATCGAGTAGTTTGTTACTAAAAGCGAAGATCCAAAAATTAGGAAAGATTAACTTTTTGTAAAGTTTATTAGTACATATCCAAAAAAATATTCCACCAAAATAATAAGGGTCAATTAGCTGAATATTACTAATGGGAGTCATAATAGAGGATATAGCCATATCCAAACATTAATTAGAAATCTGACCAATGGTCATGTGAATTTACGTGTAAGGGCTTAGTGATTTAAGCGGGAAGACATTTCGGAAACCGGCTGCGAAGGGAATTGTGATGATGTGGCCGAATAGTTAAAATCAAGTATTACACCACACAAATTAACCTTGAACAGAAACAACTCTGTCTCTCTTTTAATACCCACATAATTTTACTGGAAACATAAAACAGTCAAATCTCTATCTTAACCATTAATAAGCTGATTACATTAAAAATAAAGAGTTTATACCATTATATGTGAACATTAGTCACTCTCATTATCTTTAAAAGGCCCCAAACCATATGAGAATACACAGACTGTACTGTAAACATTAAACATCTTACGTACTCACTCTGTATTTTACGGTGTCGACAATGACTGAAGACGAAGACGGTGGTGCAGTTAATACGGGAACATTAAACCCTCAGGTTAGGAACTGTATGCCGTTGCTGGTTGAATCGTGTAGTTAATCAATATAGTACAATATATCGTTAGCAGTGGCGAATCTACTAACACGGATACGGTGTCATGTGACACCATAACAATTTGTAAACAAACTTTTTTGGGTTAAAATATCATTGGTTTTGTGAGATTGCATTGAAAATTCCTCCTTATGACCCCCTAAGAAAGAGTTCGAAACTCCATATGACACCATAATAAAATTATTTTTTTGTTTGATTTGTTTACTGACACCGGTGAAAAAAAATTCTACATTCGCCACTGATCGTTAGTATACACTAGCTTAGGAAACAGTACAGATCTGTAATTTATGTTGATATACCATTTAATGTAGCCGCCTTATACTGAGTTTAACATCGCCTCTTGATTCCGCAGTTGTATCTTCAAGATGAGGTGGAGTTACTTCTCGGGACGTGGAACAGAGAGGACAATGGGAAGTGGATCTTCGAACACGACCCAATGCTAGCTCCCAAAACCATTCAACTTCAGACAAAACTCTCTTATGCGGCTCTTGTCTCGCTCGTGAAAGGAACACTTCACCTTCTGGCGAAAAATATATCCATCAAACTGGCGTATCAATATCCACCATGGATGGCAATAGATGATGGCGATGGATCCACCCCACAGTACATAACAGATGACCACAAAGTTGAGGTATTTATCCAGATGAGGCGACACGTCGAGGAAGTAAACCTCTGCGTCACGGTCACACGTCATATCGGAGCTATGATGGCAGATGATGAGCGGATACGTTGTAGTCAGTATCAACAACCACTTACAACAGCGGAAGATGATGGGATAGGTGGTCAGTCGGACGGAGAAGGAACCGATGAAGAGTGGCATCGATTTGCAATGTCCAAAACTCCACTAACAGCTCCGCTCACCGCTCCACTAACCGCTCCTCAAGGAACGAGAGCAGAGGACGAGCAAGTCGTTCCAACTCTACATGGTGAGAAGACAGTCCCAGGACATAAGAGAGGCAGAGACGAAGGGATTTCTATTCGCGAAGGCGAACCCATTATCCGTCTATCCAATGTCGAATGTGATCCTCGTGATGAAGGGAAGGCGATTGCGGCAGATTTTGAAAGCGATTCAGACAGCGACGGTGACGATGCTATTGTCCCGTTTGGCGCAACAGTCCTGACCATGTCGTAAGAGCAGGTCCAAGAACGCATGGTGCAAGAAGGCAATTGTTCTCCAAGGACGAAGGCACGGAAGGAGAAAAATCAGAGGAGCCTTTCCCCGGTGATACTTCATCTGACACGCCGTCTGGAGCTAGAGAAAATATCCCATACAATCCATGGGGACGATTCGACGAAGCGTTACACTATATCCTTTGCGATATCAGTGCCAATCCGGCCATGTTAGGCAGGGATGCTCCACCAGTTTTCCCCATTGGCGTTGAAGATGGTAAGCAATTCTCTGTATATATATAACTATTCCATAAACGGAATATGGAATAGAATCCTAGTTATCATACTATAATTGGTCGCGGTATGGAACAACGGTGTCAGTATATTTGTTTTCCAATATTCATCTAGCGTATTTGCTTACCCTGACTTTTTGTTTTGCAGCTGTTGATTCAGCGCTTGCCGACGTGCGTTATGAGGGTGATAAACTTTTCGTTGGTCGAGTATTCAAGTCGAAAACGGATTGCAAACTTAAGATCGCTATTCATGCTATCAATAGGAGGTTTCACTTTCGCACAACGAGGTCAAGCCCAACATTTATGGTCATGAAGTGCAGCTGCCGAACATGTGAGTGGCGTGTTGATATACCTCTAATTTACCCACTTTTTATACTGTTTTAGCATTGTTTTCTAATGGTTTTTGGCAGGTTTTCTATCTAAAAAGGTAGTTTTACTGTGTTTATAGTGTCTAGAGTCTAAACAGGTGAAATGATGCATTTTGGAGCAAAACCATAGGATTTGCACTTCAAGCAGCTCCATGCACAAGCACCAACTTTAAGAGGGCCCAGAAAAAGATCTACTCAATGGATTTCATCAAGACCAGTTCCCTGCGTGCTCTGATTGAGTTAACTTTCCAACGCAATTGGAATGGCCTCATTTGGATGAGTAGAAAAGGAGTTACAACCAAAAGAGGAAGACTGCTCCAGACAGCTCTATCGAGAATCAGCGCCCAACCGCGCAGTCCGGCTGGCCGAGGAACGAATGTTCCGCGCTCGGCCAGAAGCTCGTCTGTTCGTCTGAAGTCTCGGCCAAAGTCCAAAACCACTCGGCCGCGCGCAAGTCACGACCCGGGAAACTATTGCCCGCGGTCGGCCACGCCACGCCACGACCGCGCACGACCAAAGCGCACGAGCCGGGAGTAACGCCTCGCGGCCGCGCAACTCATCTCGCGCACCACGCACGAACGCGCCGTCCGACCCAGGAAACTACGTTCTGCGTCCGGCCAAGATTCCGTCGACCGTTCCGACTCGGCCACATACCGATTGTCCGGCCGATCGTCCCGCACGACCGTCCCAACGCCGCGGTCGACCCGAAGCCCTTTTTGAAGCCCAAACTTATGTTTTCAAGCCCGGCTTAACCCTAGCCGCCTCTAGAAAGACCTAGCACTATATATATGGATTTTTAGCCTCTTGAGAAAGAGAGCCGCCCTGTATTTCGATTTCCTACTCTAAGTTTTATTGCAATCATGTTTTCTTCATCTCTATGTGTGTTTGCTTTGATCATGTCTGAGTAATCCACTAGTTAGGTTGCTAGGGTTACTATTCAATGAGTTGCTTGCATGATCTTTGATTTCAATGATTAGCTAGGGATTATATTAGAGTCTTTGTCTCGTCTTGTGCACTTAACTAATGCTGATTGCTTTACCGCGCATCTAGTAATCCGATCTTAGGTTGATTTGAGCCTCGACAGTGTTGTATCATTCGCCGGACATATTCTTTGACAAGCTAGGTTTCTTAGACTGCGAAAGTTGATCTATCTATATCTAGTGACCATGCCATGGGTTCAAGAGCTGGTAGTTATGCACTACTGCCTGTGTACTTGTACTTACTGCAATATGCAAACCCGGGAAGTATTTGTGTGTTGGAGCATGAGGTGGATACGACCGCTCAACTGCGTTTTAAGTACACCTTCGTCGCTTATGGTGCATCAATTGCTGGCTATCCTTACATGCGGAAAGTTATTGTAGTTGATGGCACCAGTCTGAAAGGCCGTTTCGGTGGATGCTTGATTTCGGCATGTGCTCAGGATGACAACTTTCAAATCTTCCCTCTCGCATTTGTTGTGGTAGATAGCGAGAATCACAGTTCTTGGGAATGGTTTCTGGCGCAATTAAAGACATTTGTACCTGATTCACATGAACTCGTCTTCATATCTGATCGCCACCATAGCGTTTACCCAGCATTAGAAAAGGTAAGCGGATGTTTTATATAGGCTCTACACCACATATAGTTCTATATGCCACATAAATAGTATGAAATACTAACTTCATACTCACGTATTGCGTATAGGTTTACCCATTATCACATCATGGGGCTTGCACCGTCCACCTTTGGCGTAACGTGAAGGATAAATATAAATCCAAACGTCTGGCAAACCTAATGTCCGCGCCTGCGAGAAGCTTCACTGTCTCCGACTTCAACCGAATATTCTTACAGATACAAAGACTTAATCCAGGCTGCGCAGCTTACTTGTTGGACATTGGTGAGTGTTTTGTTTACGTTTCCCGTACCATTCCATATACATTGTATATAGTATGACATAGAACCGGAAACAAGATGATGTTTATGATGTAGGCTTGTTTCAGTTTCAGAGTTTAGTCATTGGACTCGCGTTCATTTCCCTGGTAAACGCTATAATATCATGGACTCGAACATAGCGGAGTCCTGGAATGCAGTGTTGAAGGAGGCGCAAGAGTTTCCACTCATTTGCATGATGGAGTACATTCGTACGTCTGTCATGACGTGGTTTGCAATTCGAAGGGCGAAATCTCTTTTGCATAAAGGCACCCTTGACACCACACGTCCGGAAGATAATTGAACAGAATTTTGAAGCGTCCACAACCCTTGCGGTGAGAACTATATGCCCAATGGAGTTCCAAGTTCAAGAGCAATCTGGTGAGTGCCACATTGTCAAAATATTAGATGGGACCTGCAGCTGCATGAAGTTCCAGCTATTGGGCATGCCTTCTGCTCATGCCATCGCTTCTGCGGTTAATATCGAATTGCCAACTGACTTTATGGTTTCATGGGGCTTCTATGGAGAGACGTGGACTCGTGGGTTCGACGGGAAGATATACCCAGTTCCTTCTGTTGGTGGTGGAGACATTCTTGATCCAGCTGGTGGTGATCTTCTGCCACCGAATGTCCGCCGACTCCAGGTAGACCTAAGAAGCTAAGAATTAAGTCACATGGTGAATTTAAGGTAACAACTTATAATGGTGACAATAAGTTCAAATTGCAGTTACTATAGTAATCATGTCTTCCTTCACATTGTGCAGAAGTCAGGGATTCACAACGGGCGCCGGTGCACAAGGTGTCGCCGTCAGGGGCATAACAAAGCCTCCTGCCGGTTTGCTATATAAGTAAAGCAACTAACTGTATGGGGTGAGGAGGGTGTTGCAGGGAACAAGCTTTTTGGCAACCGGCTGAATAGTGGTGATCCACATTGAAGACGCATGTGAAGTGCAGTAGCTTAATTTTAGGGGACGGGAACGAGGAAATAGTGTGGTATATGCATAAAAGTGAAATATACCACAATATTTTCGAATCCATACCAAACCTCATCCCTTTTGTGTATACGGCAAAGCCTGCAATGTATATAGCAGCCATGTAAACCTCCTCTTCTGATGTAAAATAACTAAGCCCCTTTAAGTATGAATTTCGCTTAATTGTTTTACCATCTGTGATTCCTTTCATCTTTTACACACGCAAGACTATATCACACAAAACTATACTATAAAGACAAACAAAATGGAAACCGATAGTAATTAAAGCCATATTCCGGTACATCAAGTACCCGCCTATTCAGTAAAACTTCTGGAAATGTAACCAACGTATAGATTGTGGTACAAATACTAAACCCTACACCCTAATCACTAAACCATAAACACTAAATACTTAACCCTTCAAACCCCACAGACATTATTTTCCATATAGTTCCACTGTAATATATGTTTCGATATGGCTATATTAGATTCAGTAAAACTTCTCGAAATATATCCAAATTATAGATTGTTGTTCCAATACTAAACCCTAAACACTTAATACTAAACCCTAAACCCTGCAACCCCCACCCCCACACTATATTAGATTCAGTAAAACTTCTGAAAATATAACCAATGTATAGATTGTGGTTGCTGAACTAAACCCTAAACACTTAATACTACATCCTAACCCCTTAATACTAAACCCTAACCCCTGCAACCACAACCCCCACACTATTTTCCATATATATTAACACCAAATCCGAACATTGAATAATATAAGGTAATCCCAACAAATGCCCAACACTGTAACTATACTACAAAAACTTATAATATAACGCATATTACCATTTCAGAGTTGAGAAACTGCCCAACGCTTTACAGACATTAGTAACTGACAATATGTGTGACTCGTTGATATAAAACATCTATATTCGAACAGAATGGTTCTCGTTTCCAACAGAATACACGTTATGTTTGGATAAGATAGAGTTAAAATATAAAACACAAGTTCCGCAAGTTCGCATGGAATCAAGAAACATAGAAACGGTATATAAAACAAAGGCCAAGTTTACTTAGTGAATAAAGCGCGGGGACGTTGACAATTGGAAAGAGAGTTCTCCTTCCACTCAAGCAGTAGTACTTGATACCATGTACTCATACAGGGAAACCGCGTAGTTTCTACTTGCAGTACGCAATGTGTCATCTTCTATGTCACCGGATGCAAGTATTTGGTTCGTTGCGTGCAGCTCAATCAACGCCAGTGCAGCCACGGCCGAGAGACCTGAGTAGTGCATTGTATTACGAAAGTAGTTTATACATGTTCATATACATCATTCATAAATGACGGACCTAACTAACAACATATACGTATAACGTTTACCTGGAGACTCACAAAGGAGGGCAATGTCAAGACGCTTTACAGGAAACAGAGTGCGTTGCACTGAAGTTGATGCATCTCCACCAAATGCGTCCCGGATAACGTATGGTAGCATAGCAGCTAGCGGTTGTAGGTAATTTTCCATTCCAGCAACGGAGACGCATGCAGTGTTACAGTCAAGCACGGTAATGGACTTTGCCAGTATGTCGATAACAATTCCAACCCAATGTGTCCCATCTACCATGTAAGGACAGTACAGATGCGTGCATCTGGTTCAATTTGTGGGCGGGTCGGTAATGGGAGTCTGACTGAATCGGAGAGCACAAAGCTAGATAGGATGCTAAACAAAGTGAAAACAGAGTAAAACCGAACCTATATCAAGTATTAAGAGCTAGATAGGATGCTAAACAATCGATTTCAACAAAGCACATCAAGAACTTGGAACAATAAGAAATTATAGTGAAGACCATAGCATCCTAGCCAATGCCAAACTCAAATTCAAAGAATTATAAGCACATGCAACAAGTTCTAATGGTAAAACAGAGGTAAGGCGAGACAAATTCTCAAAACTATATAGCAGGAGAAGGATATGAAGGCAATTACTCAATAACAATCACACAAGGGACACATGCAATAAAAGTTCAAGAGGACATAAGCAATAGAAAGGAATCGAGATTAAGGAATTGGGGGTTTAGGGTTCATACCTTGCTTGAATGATGATTGAACTAGAACAGTAGCTAGAACTATAGCAATTCAAGATAATGAACAAAAGAGAAATCGAAAAAGTTAAGAGAGAAAGAAGGATTTTTGGATTTTTCTTGTGGTGATGAGAGAGATGGATGCTTTTTTCAGAAAATTCAGAGTGTGGGAGAGAGGGAGAAGGGGGCGCGATCGAGTTATGGGGAAGAGGGAGTGTTTGAGATGTGTGGTTGAGATTAAAAGGTGAATTAAAGAGGGGACAAAAGGCAAGGGGTTTTCTGATCGATTTCAGGAAGTGGGGGACCAAAATTAACTTGTGGGACCCACTCCCTTGACAAAGGAAACGGTTGGAAATTTTGAATTTTGAAAACTTACCTTGGTCGAGTTGTGGAACTCGATCGAGTTGCCTTTGTTTCTAGCTCGATCGAGCTGTCGGTCGAGCTGGCTCCTTTGTCACCTAAACTTAACTTATTGAAAGGTTAAAGACACAAAACTAAATAGAGAAAGCATTGAAAAGTATGTACAAGGATAGTCATGAGACTTCCTCCCAAGTGAGCTTGTTTAAGGTCCCATAGCTTGACCTTTACCTTTTAGGCATTGGTTGAGCTAGTCCCACCATCAAGGGTGATAGTGAGGATTTGAGATAGACGCTCATTCAACTTGGTTGGATCCCTGGACTGATCTGAAGTGACCAAGGCCTTGGCTCTAGAGTATGGTCTTGATCTCCCCTTGTACCTTATCTTGTACTCAATTTTTCCATTTTAAAACTTGGTGGGGAACAAGGTCATTGTGAGCTGAGATGGCTTGGCTGAGGAAACCTGGGCTGATGGGTTCTTCCTTTTCTCTCCCACAAGAGCCTTTGAGGCTGCATCCTCCCCTTCCTTTTGAGCGCTTCCTAGTGGCTCATCAAACAAAGCTTGGAGGCTTTCCTCATCAAGTACGCAAGGTGCTTGAACTAGCCTATCAGCTCTTGGTCTCTTAGAACGTGGTCTCTCAACTCTAGCCCTCTCAAGACGTGGCTTCTCAATCTTTGGTCCCTTATCAACTCCTTTGTCTTTCTCAACCTTATCCTTCACAACTCTTGTGTCTTTGTCAACACTTTCCTTCACAACCTTTGGAACTTCATGAGGCTTGGAACTGAGAGCATTGCTTTCAATTGTTGCACAAAAGTCTGAACCTTGATGTACTTGCATTTTACATAGTTTTAGCACATCTTTTATGCATCTTTTGCATAGTTTTAGCTATCCATTTGCATCATATCTTGTTCCTTTTCTCTTCTTATGCATTCATGTTAGTTTTAGGTTGCATTTGCATACATATGCATGTTTGGTCCTTTGAAATGTCTTTTGGAGCATTCTGGAGCATATGGGACATGAGGAGCATGGAGGGACTTGGCACATGGACGCAGCTCAACTGGATACGCAAAGGAAGAAGGGAGAAGCCATCTTGAAGACCAGCTCGACCGTTGATGTACTTGCATTTTACATAGTTTTAGCACATCTTTTATGCATCTTTTGCATAGTTTTAGCTTCCATTTGCATCATATCTTGTTCCTTTTCTCTTCTTATGCATTCATGTTAGTTTTAGGTTGCATTTGCATACATATGCATGTTTGGCCCTTTGAAATAGGTCTTTTGGAGCATTCTGGAGCATATGGGACACAAGGAGCATGGAGGGACTTGGCACATGGAAGCAGCTCAACTGGATACGCAAAGGAAGAAGGGAGAAGCCATCTTGAAGACCAGCTCGACCGTCCTACTCGACCAACCGGTCGAGTTCCTCAACTCGACCGGCCAAGCTTCAACTCGATCGAGCTGGAAGTCAAAGTCAAACCCGAAAAATGTTGCTTCCCCCTTGACTTTCCTTTGACCCTAAACCTAATCCTCTTGTATTTAAAGGCTCTAAGCCACGAAAAAACCACCAAGCTTTAGATTATTTTGTTTTAGCTTCTTTTAATTTATTGTCTTTACTTTTTAGCAACCCTAATCCCATCTTTGTGTTCTTGAAGCTCTTGCTTCTTGAATCTTAGATCCTGGATTATTTGCTTTGTATTTGCACTTGCTTATTTCAATAAAAGTTTTAATTTCATCTCCTCTTTCTTATGATGTCTATTTCATTGCATTTGCTTGTGTTTACATTCATGTGTAGTGAGTAGTTACCCATTAGGGTTTGAGATGGGATAGATTAGAGGTTTCATATGCTTAATCCTTCTAGCTTATGGTCTTAATCTAGATTCTCTCTCTTTTGGATAGATCTTAAGGCTACATGACCACTACCCCTGGCTTGTAAGTCCTTAGGCGAGTCCCCACACGAAGTGATGGCATTCGCTGGAAAAGATCCACTAAGAGCTCCAATATCTCTTGCTCTAGACAATAGAGGTCTAAGGGGTTGGATGGATTAGTTTGGGCAATGATCCTATAGCCTCCAAGGTTTGATTCTCACTGGCTAACCCCCTGTTTCTGAGATCATTCCTTGGTTGATAGCCTCCACCTTGGGAAAGGGTTGGCTAGGCATTGAGAAGCCCAATATCAAGAGAAGCCTTGATACAAGGAGTTTTAAGAGCTAGATTGATTAAGTGTAGATTCCTTTGATTGCAAAACCCTGTCTTGAACCCTAATTCTCTCTTTATCTTGTTAAAGTCGTCACCTTTACTGTTGTTTGTCTCAACTCGTCCCTAAACTCGATCGAGCTGGTACTCTGCCTACTCGACTCGAGCTCTTGGTCGAGCTGACACTTCACTGCTTTGTTTACTTTTATTGCACTGCTTTTCATTTTTAGGTTGTTAGTGTTACTTCAAATCTATAACTGCTTGCTTGACTTCCTGGTTGTTTCATATTCTCATAGAGTGACAAGATTTCCCATTTTGGATTGATAACCTCTTATACTTCAATGACTATTTTTGTTGCATTTGAGTTTCAAACACTTGAACGATCAAGCTATACCACCCCTGTGTTTTTTGGATGCATCCATCCTCCCTCTCACATAAGGGTCACTTAGGACTCCGGATCGGGCCTAAGCATCAAGTGGGGCCTACGCCGCCGAATAAACGTTCAAGATCCTCTCGGAAAGGCATATATGCGTTTGCGCGTCATAAACAAACGGGTGCGATCATACCAGCACTAATGCACCGGATCCCATCAGAACTCCGCAGTAAGCGTGCTTGGGCGAGAGTAGTACTAGGATGGGTGACCTCCCGGGAAGTCCTCGTGTTGCACCCCTTTTTTTGTTAATTTTTTTCTGTATTTCTATCTGAAACTTCCAAAATGCGTAGCTGGAAGACCGTGAGGCCGTATGCTGCCACCAACCACTTTTCGTGAAGCTCCAAAAGAGCTCTAGGCGTAAAATATCGTTTGGACCCCAAAAAATGGCGTTTGGACGCTTTTCCGGGCCGTTTTCTGGTGCGGACACAAAATCAATGAATCGAAAGTGCTATGCATAGTGTTTTTTGGATGCATCCATCCTCCCTCTCACATAAGGGTCACTTAGGACTCCGGATCGGGCCTAAGCATCAAGTGGGGCCTACGCCGCCGAATAAACGTTCAAGATCCTCTCGGAAAGGCATATATGCGTTTGCGCGTCATAAACAAATGGGTGCGATCATACCAGCACTAATGCACCGGATCCCATCAGAACTCCGCAGTAAGCGTGCTTGGGCGAGAGTAGTACTAGGATGGGTGACCTCCCGGGAAGTCCTCGTGTTGCACCCCTTTTTTTGTTAATTTTTTTCTGTATTTCTATCTGAAACTTCCAAAATGCGTAGCTGGAAGACCGTGAGGCCGTATGCTGCCACCAACCACTTTTCGTGAAGCTCCAAAAGAGCTCTAGGCGTAAAATATCGTTTGGACCCCAAAAAATGGCGTTTGGACGCTTTTCCGGGCCGTTTTCTGGTGCGGACACAATATCAATGAATCGAAAGTGCTATGCATAGTGTTTTTTGGATGCATCCATCCTCCCTCTCACATAAGGGTCACTTAGGACTCCGGATCGGGCCTAAGCATCAAGTGGGGCCTACGCCGCCGAATAAACGTTCAAGATCCTCTCGGAAAGGCATATATGCGTTTGCGCGTCATAAACAAACGGGTGCGATCATACCAGCACTAATGCACCGGATCCCATCAGAACTCCGCAGCAGAAGCGTGCTTGGGCGAGAGTAGTACTAGGATGGGTGACCTCCCGGGAAGTCCTCGTGTTGCACCCCTTTTTTTGTTAATTTTTTTCTGTATTTCTATCTGAAACTTCCAAAATGCGTAGCTGGAAGACCGTGAGGCCGTATGCTGCCACCAACCACTTTTCGTGAAGCTCCAAAAGAGCTCTAGGCGTAAAATATCGTTTGGACCCCAAAAAATGGCGTTTGGACGCTTTTCCGGGCCGTTTTCTGGTGCGGACACAAATCAATGAATCGAAAGTGCTATGCATAGTGTTTTTTGGATGCATCCATCCTCCCTCTCACATAAGGGTCACTTAGGACTCCGGATCGGGCCTAAGCATCAAGTGGGGCCTACGCCGCCGAATAAACGTTCAAGATCCTCTCGGAAAGGCATATATGCGTTTGCGCGTCATAAACAAACGGGTGCGATCATACCAGCACTAATGCACCGGATCCCATCAGAACTCCGCAGTAAGCGTGCTTGGGCGAGAGTAGTACTAGGATGGGTGACCTCCCGGGAAGTCCTCGTGTTGCACCCCTTTTTTTGTTAATTTTTTTCTGTATTTCTATCTGAAACTTCCAAAATGCGTAGCTGGAAGACCGTGAGGCCGTATGCTGCCACCAACCACTTTTCGTGAAGCTCCAAAAGAGCTCTAGGCGTAAAATATCGTTTGGACCCCAAAAAATGGCGTTTGGACGCTTTTCCGGGCCGTTTTCTGGTGCGGACACAAAATCAATGAATCGAAAGTGCTATGCATAGTGTTTTTTGGATGCATCCATCCTCCCTCTCACATAAGGGTCACTTAGGACTCCGGATCGGGCCTAAGCATCAAGTGGGGCCTACGCCGCCGAATAAACGTTCAAGATCCTCTCGGAAAGGCATATATGCGTTTGCGCGTCATAAACAAACGGGTGCGATCATACCAGCACTAATGCACCGGATCCCATCAGAACTCCGCAGTAAGCGTGCTTGGGCGAGAGTAGTACTAGGATGGGTGACCTCCCGGGAAGTCCTCGTGTTGCACCCCTTTTTTTGTTAATTTTTTTCTGTATTTCTATCTGAAACTTCCAAAATGCGTAGCTGGAAGACCGTGAGGCCGTATGCTGCCACCAACCACTTTTCGTGAAGCTCCAAAAGAGCTCTAGGCGTAAAATATCGTTTGGACCCCAAAAAATGGCGTTTGGACGCTTTTCCGGGCCGTTTTCTGGTGCGGACACAAAATCAATGAATCGAAAGTGCTATGCATAGTGTTTTTTGGATGCATCCATCCTCCCTCTCACATAAGGGTCACTTAGGACTCCGGATCGGGCCTAAGCATCAAGTGGGGCCTACGCCGCCGAATAAACGTTCAAGATCCTCTCGGAAAGGCATATATGCGTTTGCGCGTCATAAACAAACGGGTGCGATCATACCAGCACTAATGCACCGGATCCCATCAGAACTCCGCAGTAAGCGTGCTTGGGCGAGAGTAGTACTAGGATGGGTGACCTCCCGGGAAGTCCTCGTGTTGCACCCCTTTTTTTGTTAATTTTTTTCTGTATTTCTATCTGAAACTTCCAAAATGCGTAGCTGGAAGACCGTGAGGCCGTATGCTGCCACCAACCACTTTTCGTGAAGCTCCAAAAGAGCTCTAGGCGTAAAATATCGTTTGGACCCCAAAAAATGGCGTTTGGACGCTTTTCCGGGCCGTTTTCTGGTGCGGACACAAATCAATGAATCGAAAGTGCTATGCATAGTGTTTTTTGGATGCATCCATCCTCCCTCTCACATAAGGGTCACTTAGGACTCCGGATCGGGCCTAAGCATCAAGTGGGGCCTACGCCGCCGAATAAACGTTCAAGATCCTCTCGGAAAGGCATATATGCGTTTGCGCGTCATAAACAAACGGGTGCGATCATACCAGCACTAATGCACCGGATCCCATCAGAACTCCGCAGTAAGCGTGCTTGGGCGAGAGTAGTACTAGGATGGGTGACCTCCCGGGAAGTCCTCGTGTTGCACCCCTTTTTTTGTTAATTTTTTTCTGTATTTCTATCTGAAACTTCCAAAATGCGTAGCTGGAAGACCGTGAGGCCGTATGCTGCCACCAACCACTTTTCGTGAAGCTCCAAAAGAGCTCTAGGCGTAAAATATCGTTTGGACCCCAAAAAATGGCGTTTGGACGCTTTTCCGGGCCGTTTTCTGGTGCGGACACAAAATCAATGAATCGAAAGTGCTATGCATAGTGTTTTTTGGATGCATCCATCCTCCCTCTCACATAAGGGTCACTTAGGACTCCGGATCGGGCCTAAGCATCAAGTGGGGCCTACGCCGCCGAATAAACGTTCAAGATCCTCTCGGAAAGGCATATATGCGTTTGCGCGTCATAAACAAACGGGTGCGATCATACCAGCACTAATGCACCGGATCCCATCAGAACTCCGCAGTAAGCGTGCTTGGGCGAGAGTAGTACTAGGATGGGTGACCTCCCGGGAAGTCCTCGTGTTGCACCCCTTTTTTTGTTAATTTTTTTCTGTATTTCTATCTGAAACTTCCAAAATGCGTAGCTGGAAGACCGTGAGGCCGTATGCTGCCACCAACCACTTTTCGTGAAGCTCCAAAAGAGCTCTAGGCGTAAAATATCGTTTGGACCCCAAAAAATGGCGTTTGGACGCTTTTCCGGGCCGTTTTCTGGTGCGGACACAAAATCAATGAATCGAAAGTGCTATGCATAGTGTTTTT